TGGCAGGCAGTAAGAAGTGTAGAAAAGGGCCAACTGTGCCATAAGTTCAATTAATGATTCTGACACAAAAACATGCGATCAACCTTTTCAGTGTGTCATCAAGAATCATCTTTAGAGCCCTGGCCAGTTTGGCCCAGCGGTTAGGGTGTCGGCCTGCGGTCCAGAGAGACCCGGGTTCGGTTCCCACTAAGGGCACGTACCTCGATTGCAGTTTGTCCCCAGCCCTGGTTAGGTCATGCAGGTGGCAGCCACTCAATGTGTCCCTTTCATGTCTATGTTTCCCTCTCTCACTCTCTCTTCCTCTCTCTCCCTCCCACTCTATCTGAACAAAAAAATGGAAAAATGTCCTCAGGTGAAGATGAAAAAAAAAAAAAGAAGAATCTTTAGAGATTATTTAGTCACAGGGGGAGTTGTTTAGAAAAAATTATGCACATTCTAGAAACAAGGCAAAAAGATGACAACATGATCTTTTAATGTCATGCTAGAGCATTTTCATGTAAAGTCAGCCTGAGGGTCACCAGATTATCTTGGGGAACCTAATTTTGTTTAATTAGCATTCAGAAGTTTTACAACCCTCAAAAGTTATAAGGTAGCCCTGGCCAGTGTGGCTCAGTTGGTCATCTTGTGCACCAACAGGTTGCTGGTTTGATTCCAGGTCAAGGGCATGTGCCCAGGTGTTGGGCTTGATCCCCAGTGTGGGTGCACAGGAAGCGGCCAATCAATGTTTCTCTCTCATCGATATTTCTATCTCTCTCCTTCTCCCTCCCACTCTATAAAAAAAAATCTTTAAAAAAAAAAAAAGTTCGATTCCAGAGAGCTTCAAACTTGAGTTGTCAGACGTGCCCCTGGGCATTTCCTTGGCAGTGTTGAGTCCCAGGGCCATGTCACAGGTGCCTCTCAGAGCTGATGGTGGAAAGCTCCTCAGGTTGAACTGTTCATTTCTTTTTGTTGTTTTTTTTCTGGTTTTTTTTTTTTTAATATATGTATGTTTTTTATTGTTTAAGTGTTATAGATGTCCCCCTTTTCCCCACTGACCCCCTCTTCCCACTCCCACCCTGCTTTCCCCAATCTAATGTGTGTGTCCATTGGCTATGCATGTATGCATATGGGTTCTTTGGTTTGTCTCTTCCCACCCCTCTCAACCCTCCTCCCTCTGAGGTTTGTGGATCTGTTCCTTACTTCCATGACTGGATCTCTTTAGGTCGACAACTTGTTTTGATCATTATATTCCATAAATAAGTGAAAAAAATAGAAATACATGTTAGAAGGTAATGTGTAGAACTAATGAGGTACAGTGATTTCTTTTCTACTCAACTAAAGAAGATAACACCAAAAGTTATAATTTATTGTCCTACAGGACATTAATTGCTTTTGTACCTAATTTAGCATCCTCCTTCAGCATTTCTTTCCCTAGTGAGTATCTAAGTCCCGATTTCTCACATCTTCACTGAACAAGCTTTGTCATTCTGTTGATTTCTTCATTACTGAGGTAGATAAAATTTTGATATGTGGCCCTGGCCAGTTTGGCTCGGCAGTTAGAGAGTCAGCCTGGGAACCAAAGAGTTGTGGGTTTGATTCTGGTCAAGGGCACGTACCTCGGTAATGGTTGCTGTTGCGGTTGCAGTTCAGTCCCTGGCCCTGGTTGGGGTCGTGCAGGAGGCAACCAACTGATGTCTTTCTCTCATTTCGATGTTTCTCTCTCTCTCTCTCCTTCCTTCCCACTCTGTCTGAAGATAAATGGAAAAATATCCTTGGGTGAGGATTAAAAAACTTGTTTTTTTTTAATATGTGGGGGCAAAAAAGAAAAAGTAGGGTATGAAGAGACCTTAGAAAGAGCTTAAAGGAAAAAGATTAGCTTCAGCTTAGAGGAAGAGAACAGGATGCTCCGGTAGTTCTAGAAATTTCTTTAATTTTTATTTATTGACTTTAGAGAGAGAGACAGACAGACATCAATTTGTTGTTTTATTTATTTATGCATTCATTGGTTGATTCTTATATGTGCCCTGACCAGGGATGAAACCCAAAACCTTGGGGTATTGGGAGAACACTCTAACCAACTGAGCTACCCAGCCAGGACAATTCTGGAAATTTCTATCAGACGAGTGGAGTGGAAAGCCTCCCCAAACTGGAGTTACATATAGGGCCTAAAAAAGCCCCACAAAACAAATAATCAAACAAAAAAACAACAAAATACTGCTTTACCAGGCAGAGGAATACAAGGGTTGAACAATTGATAATGCCTATTTTATGATAATGTCACATTCTTTTCTGTCATCTTCTGAGTCTGAGCCCTATAAACTCTGCCTCCAGTGTCTCTCTCTGTTATTGTTTCCATTTCCATTACCACCACACTAGTAGGGGGTCACCATTAATTCTTGCCTATCATGTTTCAGTAGCATCCTAATTTATTTCTTTGCTTCCAATCCTTTTCCCCTCAATCAATTCTAAATCCCACGATTAGAGTAATGAACCTGAATTAGAGCATATATCATGGTACTCCAGTGCTCAGTGGTTCTCAACTGCCCAGAAAAGTTCAAAGCTCTTTAACTAGCTTTCAAATCCCTCAATAATATGACCCATCCCATTTTTCTAGCCTTTATATATCCCATATTAGTAAACATTCAGATTCGTCCATTCTACAGTGGAGTGTCTGGGATGGGTCAGGTTACAAAGGGAAACAGGGTAAGTGTCCTCATCAAATAGACAACCAGTGAAAGAGATGAATAAAACTGAAGAGTCGCCAGAATGGAAGAAGGAATACCAGGAAGGGGTGATGCCCTAAAAGGCACACGAAGAAAGTGTTTCAAGAAGGGAATGATCAACCACATCAAATACCTCCAAAGGGTCAACTAAAATGAGGACTGCAAATTTGGCCACTGTAACTTGGCCACACATGGAGGTCACTGATAACGTTGACAAGAATGGTCTTAGTGGGGTGCTGGGAATGAAAGTTTGATTGGGGTGGGTTCAAGAGAGAAAATGGAGTAAGGAGGTTGAAGATTTTTGCTATAAAGGGGAGCATCAAATAATTTAGGTTCTAGGAAGCCTTTTTAAAGATGTGAGAGAGGCCCAGCTGGTGTGGCTCAGTAGTTGTGCATCGACCCATGCACCAAGAGGTCACTGGTTCGATTCCCAGTCAGGGCACATGCCTAGGTTGTAGGCTAAACTCCAGTGGGAGGCATGCAGGAGACAGCCGAACGATGTTCTTTCATCAATGCTTCTATCTCTCTCTTCCTCTTCCTTCCTCTCTTTCTAAAAAGCAATAAAGAAAAAAAAAATTTTAAATAAATATGGGAGGGAGAACATTAGGTTTGTATGCTAATGGAAATGGCTTAATAGAGAGAGAAATTGATTATGCAAGAATGTAAAGGGATAACTGCAAGCACATGGGTAGGCAAAGGAGGTGGGATCCAATGCACAAGTGAAGAGGTTGATCTGAGACAGCAGGGAAGGTTCATTCATTTTAACCATAGGAAAGGAAGACAGAATGGTAATGGGAGTAAATTAGTAGATTTGATGGTGAGAAATGACGTTTATCTTGTCTCAATTTTCTCAGTAAAAGAAATTAACAGCTGAGATTGAGGAAGGGAGGAGGGAATACTGGAGGTTTAAGGACAAAAGGGGTGCTGCAATAGTCATCTGGACCACAAGAGAGTGAATTGACTAAGAAAATGCAATAGGGTTGCTGAGCACTTGGGCCATGAACTTAAAGTGAAACTTGCAAAGCATTTTCTTTTTCAGCTTCAGAAAAAGAAACAGCTTTTGCATTTATTTCCTCAATCTCTCTCTCCTTGACTAGCTGATAAAACTGTATTCTAGAAAGCCCAGCAGAAGAGCTACCTCTTCAATAATGTCTTCCTGTAGCTCTCCCAGCCCAAAGTGAGATTTTCATTCTCTCAACTCCAATATTAAGTTGTTTTGCTTCCTATAAAGCATATAGTCCACTTCACATTTATGTTTCGTTTCTGTGCCAGATCACAAGTTCCTTATAGAGAAACCACTTCTTATTCATCACAACCACAGGATGTTTCTCTCCATCCTCTCTGCTGCATATTATACTAAATCTTCATGGTTCTAGGCCCTACCAAATACATAATTGTGTGGTATGGCGCCCTATCTCCTTATTAAACTGGTATTTTGGGAAATAGGAAACTTGCTCACTCTTTCTGCTTATGTTCTTCAAATACCTTGCTCTTGAATTTTAGCTATTATTTTTACAGATGTTTCAACAAAAAAAGGGTTGCTTTAATTAATGTTAACTCACATATATGGCATATAACTGACCTTTGTCTTCAAGAGGTTTGCCCCTAGAGTCAAATGTGCCTTATTAGCATCACAAAAATACATGGCGTCAACAGTCTCAGAAGTGGTGCTAATAGAGTCAGATTTATATGTAAATAGCACCACATACAGTGGAGTAGAATGGGGGATGGGCAAAAGCTAGCAGGCAGACAATCTAGCCGGGGCAGACAATTTCATTTAGTCACCTTACGTGTAAATGACGCTACAGAGCAGTCCATGGAGCTTCCCCATTTCCAAACAATGTTGGAATGAGAGTAGAGAACTGCCGGGAAGCAAAAAAACTACAGGTGCCCCACAGTGACCGAATTTATCCACATCATCTAAGACTGTTGTGCCCTAGCCAAGGCTGACCGGCCTCGTCCTATTTCCTTAATCTGAGTGATTCCATCATTAAGACTTTGGCATGGAAAAAAACTCCGGCACAAAAGCAACTGCAGGGGCTCGCAAGTCACGACGCAGGGTGGCCCAGTAGCCCCCCGTAGGTCCCGTGCCAACGGAAAAGCGCGAGCCCCCCAGCCCAGACGCCGGGGCGCCGTTACGTAACCGGCCGCGAGGGGCGCCGCGAGCCGGAAAGCCCCGCCTCGCCCTAGGTCCCGCCCTTCGCCACCGGCGGTTAGCTGGAGCGCAACCCTCCGGAAGCTTCCGCCCCCTTTGCCTTTTATAGGAAGGCGATTTTTTTTTTCCAGTGGACGCCACAGCGTAACACCAGCTCTAAAACCGTGAAGTAGGAGCGCCTCTCTCACTCCTTACTTCCGCTTCCTTCAAGTAAGGAGTCCGTGCCTCCCCCATTTTTCTCAGCCAGGCGACAGCGGCGTAGGCTTGAGATGTTTGGCCTCAAAAGAAACGCAGTAATTGGACTGAACCTCTACTGTGGGGGTGCCAAGCTGGGGGCCGGCAGCGGCGGCAGCGGCGCTTCCCCTTCGGGAGACCGGCTTCTGCCTGCGGGGAAGGAGGCCACAGCCCGGCGAGAGGCAGGGGGAGGGGAAGCGGGCGCGGTGATTGGCGGAAGCGCCGGTGGGAGCCCCCCAGCCACTCTCGCGCCCGACGCCCGGAGGGTCGCGCGGCCCTCGCCTATTGGCGCCGAGGGCCCCGACGTCATCGCGACCCCCGTGAGGCGGCTGTTCGCGTCCGTCCGCCGCGCGTCGCCGCCTGAAGAGATGGAAGCCCCGGCCGCCGACGCCATCATGTCGCCTGAAGAGGAGCTGGACGGGTACGAACCGGAGCCTCTTGGGAAGCGACCGGCGGCCCTGCCCTTGCTGGAGCTGGCCGGGGACGCCACTAATGTCCCCCGTGCCGGTGGCTCCCTGCCCTCGACGCCGCCCCCGGCAGAGGAGGAGGAGGAGGACGAGTTGTTCCGGCAGTCGCTGGAGATTATCTCTCGGTACCTGAGAGAGCAGGCGACCGGCGCCAAGGACGCGAAGCCCATGGGCGGCTCTGGGTCCGCCAGCCGGAAGGCGTTGGAGACCCTGCGGCGAGTCGGGGACGGCGTGCAGCGAAACCACGAGACGGCCTTCCAAGGTGAGGGGGTGGTCGCGGAGGCTGCGCTGTCTTTGTCATCTCTGGCTGGGCTCGGTAGTGGGTGGAAACTGAAAGGAGTCCGCTTGGAAACGACTCATCCATTTCTGAAACCAGAATATTCTGGCCGTGAGTCATTGTTTCCGCCCACCCGATTCGTTTGGAAATAACTCCGCTCAAAGGCCGGAAAGGGTGGGATGTCAGTGTTCCTGTGGGTCGGCCCGAGTTCGGTGGGTCTCAGATAGCGACCCCCCTCCCTGGGCGGCAGCGAGTCGTGCTCTGGCCCAGACAAAGGAGGCCGTGAGAACCCGCGTGCTTTTCTTCCTCAGGTATGCTTCGGAAACTGGACATCAAAAACGAGGACGACGTCAAATCTTTGTCTCGAGTGATGGTTCATGTTTTTAGCGATGGAGTAACAAACTGGGGCAGGATTGTGACTCTCATTTCTTTTGGTGCCTTTGTGGCCAAACACTTGAAGAGTATAAACCAGGAAAGCTGCATTGAACCATTAGCGGAAAGCATCACAGATGTTCTCGTAAGGACAAAACGAGACTGGCTAGTCAAACAAAGAGGCTGGGTAAGTCTGTTTTAAGGTCGGAAAGGGGGCTTGGAATGGAGAATTTTTTAGAGAAAGTGGGGATCGCTGAAGGTTTTTTTTTATGGTACACAACTCAGTTTTCAAGTTCTAACTTAGGGATCTCTGGTTTCTTGACGTGGATATAAGTTGTGAGGCCATAGAGGTCGTGAGTAGTATGACTGTTTTAATTGTTGCATCAAAAATCTTGGTTTCCGGTAGGCTGTTTTACTGGATGTTGAGTCTTTTGCTTTTGGTATTTTATTGTAATTCATTCTCTACACTAGTGGATTCAAATTATGAAGCAATAAGTGTTACCTGGCAACATAATCACCTGGGGAATGTAGTAAAATACATTCCTTATTGCACACCCCTATTTTAAATGTCTCTTTTGCATTGGGGGAGGGGGGGTTAAATAATTGGCTCATCGTTTCATAGAGGCGGGACTTAGATATTTCCATTTACCTTTTCTTTGTAAGTAGGTGGAAAACCCCCATGCTTGAAAATGTGCTTTTCTTTTTTGTTTTCTAGGATGGGTTTGTGGAGTTCTTCCATGTAGAGGACCTAGAAGGCGGCATCAGAAATGTGCTGCTGGCTTTTGCAGGTGTTGCTGGAGTAGGAGCTGGTTTGGCATATCTGATAAGATAGCCTTTTAAGTGAAATAATTGACTCTTAACCAACTCCAGGCACCAAATCCACATCCATCTGCTGTGAAATCGGTGTATTTGTGAAGTTGGACTTGAAGCTGTCCAGGCTGTAACCTCCAAGCAACGTAGAAAAGCAAGTGGCAAGAGGATTATGGTTTAACAGGAATAAATAACATGGGAAAAGTCGTTCCCCTTGAAGAGTTACTGTCTGAAAGAAGCAAAGTTCGGTTTCAGCAACAGGCACACTTTGGGAGGCCATGGAGGAGGACTTTTAGATTTAGTGAAGATGGTAGTGGGGAGAGAGACTTGATATCCTTGTCTAGAACAGGAGAGTGGCCAGTAGCCAGGCTAGTCATATAGAGTTCATTCAATATGCCCACTGAACTCGTTAACTTCCTATAGTGTTAAAAGAGAAGCACTAACAATGCCAGTGAAAATGTGTAAAGTGGATTTAAGCTACAATAGAACTATGACTAGAAGCCTCAGTACTGTACAACAAGAGTGAAGGGAAGCTTTTTCCTCTATAATTAGCTTTCCCAGGTATGCTTCTTGAAGAATAGAAAGGCCAAGTCTACTTTGGCTTGGTTTGAATGATTTAGTTTATTAGCCTTGTAATGGCCGAGAATACTTGACTTAAGGCTCAATAATTGCAATTACAAATATGGAATATCCTCAAGTTTTAAGATGAAAACAACTTGTAAATGTATTTGTCTGTAAAAATTGTATATATTTTTACAGAAAGTCTATTTCTTTGAAATGTAAAGGGAGGGGAAAATTGAATTCCATTAGTTTTTTCATACCCTTTTGAAATTTACAACTTCTGAAGTTAGAACCTATTTCTTAACAGTTTTTCTAAATGTTGTTCTGGTCAATTCTAGATTGTATACAGAACCTATTGATGTAATTGTATGCAACCTTGTTGTGGTAGAACAATTCTGATTCATAACTATGCAGGCTTTAATTTTCCTATCTAATTTTGGTAAGTATTCTTCATAGGGCTTTTTTTCCTGTTTTTTTTTTGTTTTTTTTTTTTTTAAACCTAGGTTGAGAAATTAATGGAAATTAATCCTTTCACTTGGATACTTGTAGATTTTCAGTGATTGAGTCAAGGTGTCCTTTTAAGAAGTTTTTGGGGTGGGGGCAGGCCGGTGATTTATGAATAATGAGCTCTGATTGGGCAACAACTTGTTTTGAGTTCCTTCTGTTTGACCTCACTGGTGAAATTCATATTCATGAGCTCATTCATAAAGTTTTTTAAAAGTTTTTCGGCTATTCCAAATGGGACTTATTAGCAGTATGTGTAGAAAAAATTACATCAGGTAGATGAGAGACTTTTGATCCCTTGTTTGCTTAAGTTGTAAAATGATGGCTTTGAAAAGCAGGCTATAGTCTAACCATGGTGCTATTTTAGGCTGGCTTGTTCAACACAGGTCTAAGCCTGTTATGTCAATAAAGCAAATACTTAATTGCTTCATTTCTATCAGTGATTCCTAAACTTTAAATTTTTGCATTGGCATCTCTTTCAGAGTTTTCAGACTTGTTCTGTTGTACTTACCATTTGTTCCTAATTTTTCCTTTGAAATATTTGCTGCTTGTTCTGCTCCCTCTACAGATATTTAGATCAGTTCCCGCATCTTTTCCTGCCATCCCTCAACTTTATCCAATTTCGTTTTGGGCACTAGGAACCTAAGTAACCCCCCCTATAGGAGTCCACAGACCTTTATCCTTCATGAATTTCATCCTTGGAAGTACAATGGGTTCTGTGATAACAGTCATAGTCATGAGGTGGGAGGAATCCATTTTCCTTGGACTGGTAACTGTTTGGTTTTTGCTTCCCCTACCTCTGGGAAGAAAGTTTCAGAAGTCCCTTAAAATTTTTCAGAGGAGGGGAGAATACCTTACATGACTTTGTCTAGGTTCCTTTGAATTTGAATGTGATCACTTAAAAGTTATGGAACTAGTACAGAGTGCTATAAAGGCTACTAGTTATACTGAAAAAAAACTATGTTGGAACTAGGGTCATTTGGAAGCTTCAGCCTCAGAACATGATCTTTAGTCTATGGACTCCAGATAAAAATAGGCATGAATAAAATGACTAAGAATGTAATAGGGAAGGACGTCCTGCCTGCCCATCTCCGAGCCATACGGTCATCTATCTAGAGCTATTTTTACCTATGTATTTATCATTCTTGATCATAAACCACTTATTTATATCATGTCTATCTTTAAGGACCTAAGAGCACTTTATGTAGTTTTTAATTAAACTTAAGATCTGGTTAGGGTGACTAAAAAGCCTGTCTCCCCATGTCCAGTTGTAGAAATGAGTGCATAGATGTAAGTTGGTATTTAGGGACCCTGCTTCCCAATATACTAGGTGTGAATGCTGAAATGACGAGGATCTTGGTTAATATTTGGGGTCAGAGTTGTGAGGGCTTAGGGAGCCCAAGTGCTTTGGGAAAGGGTGGGTGGTTTTATAGTGAGAGAGAGGAGGCACTTGTTCTAAGTGCTGACTAGCTACTACATACTTCAGGCAACCCTCCCAAATGGAAAAGGAGAATGTTTGGAAAGATGGCTGTCTCAACAACTGTCTTATGCTTCTCTCAGGGAAAAACTTTCAGTCGTCTCGTGTTGTCCATGTAACATTCTATTGGGGGTGATCACCTGGGTTCTGGTTAAACAGCTAATATTGTTGACAGCTGTATCATTGGGGTTAGGACCAACTAACTACAAATTAACATGGGCTGTAAAATGTAGTGTGTTTCCCTAACTTCCTGTTTTTCCTGAGAAGAAAATAATAAATCTTTATTCAAATGCAAGGTGTGCTATGAGTATTTTCTAATCATTGTCTTCCTTCCCCCTTCCTAGGCAAGAGCTTTTAGGGAAGTCAGCTGAGCAAATAAGTATAGGTGAATTGACAAGCAAAAGCATCCCCATAAAGCTAATTTGCCTTAGAGCAAAGTTCAAATTAGAGGTGTTGTGTTTTTAATTAAATGTATCACTGCTGTGCTTTGAAGTAGTTCCTGTACATTTTAATACAAAAATCATAATCTCTGTTCAGATTTTTCTTTTAGTTACCAATATAATGTTAATACAATTTTGAGGTAAGAGGGTTCAATCTCCCCATCTCAACATTTAGAGTTGAAGGAGCTAGAAGAATTAACACCCAAAGTTAAGGGGTTTTAAGGGTTTCAGTACTTTTCCCCATTCCTCTGCCAAAAGAGGTGAGAATAAGCAAGTCAATTTCAGAAAGCCTATCTTGTATTTTCTGTTTATAGTCACCATAGAAATGTGCAAATAGGAGGTTTGCATATTGGTTTTAAGCCCTGAGCTTGACCAAATGCTAATGTGCAAACAGGATTTGGGGCTTCCCCCCCATAACCACCAGAGACAGCAACATTTTATTACAAAGAAAGGGGTTTTGTACAAGTGCATACCCAAATGGGTGGAGGGGAGGGTAACAGGACACAGCTGCCCGAGTTCTAAGCAGTACTATTGCTCCCACTGATACGTTCTGATGTGAAGCCGTTTCTGTGGCAATATTCCTTAGGAACACTTCAAAAACTTGGGTAACCAGGTAACATGAGTTACTGAGCCAGTTGAAATAACACTTCATTTGACACAACCAGACTTTTCGGTTCCTGTTTTGTGACTAGAGCCAGCTCTTGCTTCACACTGTTTAAGAAATTTTTCTTTAAAGAAATTGACAGGTGGAGAATTTTACAAAAATTAAAGTGAAATAACTTGTACAACTGGTGTGTCCCAGAGTGTGGGCCACTATTCCTGGGGTTCAAGATGATCAGTTAATTTCGTCTTATCCTAGTTTTCTGGCTCCACTTGTTCAGTGATAACAGAACTTGGTCTTGAACCCTCCCACACTGTTCAAAGGCTTCTGGGTTTCAAGATTTGAAAACTTTGTCCCTCTTCTTTTGTTTCAAAGTTACAGTGTTAGCTACTTGAAGCATGTGGAAAGATAGGGGTTGGGAATCTGCCTCCGGGCAGATTGTAACAGACTTTTCTGAGAATTCGATGTTCTTTACTAAAGATTCTTGTTAGTAAAAAAAATTACAAGTGGCAAGCTTTTGTTCCCACACTAGACCTGGTTTCTCTTACAGTTCCTTTCCTTACCTGCATAGAATAATAGTTCCTGACTGTTGGGAAATTGGTTACCCTTTCCAAATAACCATTTCCATAGCTTGTTTCTATATTCTTTCTTTGCCTTCTCTCCTCATTCCCTGTTCAGGGATTTCTTTCATTTATTCATTCTTCAACACTGCAATGAGCTGGGACATTTAATGAGCTGTAGGCAGCTAGATGTTGAGTCAATCCATTACATGGCAGTGGACTGTTTACTATGTACCATGCACTATTGGATGCGGGAGTTATAAAGGGAAAAATTCTTTCCCTCAAGAAACTCCAAGAAAGGATTAGGGGCAATAGAAAGAAACATGACAACTAAATGTAAGGTGATCTCTAGATCCTGAATGAATAAAAAGTTATAAAGGACATGGAGACAATTGGGGAAGTTTTAATATGGGCAATATGTAAGATAGTACTGTGTCAGTGTTAAGTTTCAGAATGTATTGTGGTTATGTAGAAGAATGCTTATTTTTAGGAGATAAATCCTGAAAATTTTGTGCATAACTAATCCATAGAATGAGAAAGCAATTGTGGCAGAATATTAAAGCTCACAATCTAGTAGGATAACCATGGACAAAAATAATTAGAATACAGTGCACAAAGTGCTATAGTAAAGGTATTACAAGAATAAGGTGGGACACAGCAGGATGACAACTTCTGGAAGCAGAAAGTGGTCCAGAAGGCTTCAAAAGAAACATTTGAGGTTGGACCTTAAAGAATGAGGGGAAAAAACATGCACAAAAGCATGGAGTTGAGAAAGAACCTCTACAGCTTTAGGAGAAGGGAGGGACTTGTAGATAATTTTGTTTTCTTATTTCATGTTTCCTCCCTGCCTTCCTTCCCCCTTCACCATACATGACCTATGAATATATTATCTCTTGTTTCTTCCACTTGGAGCCTTATATAAAAACATTGAGAAATACTGGTGGGAAAAAAAATGTCTTTTGTCTTAGAGGTCTGAGTTTGGTGTACATGACACAGCTGGGTGCATTGTGTTTATTTGAAAAGTAAAGATAGACTTCATTGTTTCCTCTATCATGTTAAAATGGTGGCCTGAACTCACAATTTTAGGATCTTGAATGCAGGAATTGGCACTGGCAGGTCTGCTTTTAATAAAGTTGTCTTAAGAGCATCACATAGGATAACTCACATACATCTCACCAGCCATGTGTCATCTTCCCGCACCCAGGTTCACATAACGTGGAAAAGAACCAAGTTTTTGAATATAGGACTGAGAGTGCTATGCTCTGCAGAACAGAATTTTAATAACGAACAAGCCTCCATAGTTATTTAACTGGACCCCCAGATACTGAATGGCAGCTCTACACTTTCTAATTTTGTTCCCGTGGGAGACTCTCTTACAGCTATTCCCATCCTGGTTCAAAAACCAGTTTGTTCTGACTGCCCAGACTTCCCCATGGGCTGCATTCTTGCCTATGAGCTCATTGTTTTGGCTTCTCTGCCTGTATAAATCCACAGCCAGTGCCAGAGGTCTCAGCCGGGGCCCCTAACTAGCTGTAGCTGCATTCCATTCAGAATTTCACCACCCCCACTTGGTTTTCTTCCCGCCCTCATGTGGTCACATGTGTGTGTTTATTCAAGTTAGCCTGGGACAAGGTGTGCTGGGAAAGAGAGCCAAGGACGCAGACAAGGAAAAGAATGTTTAACTGTTGGGTTTCATCCTGGTTTAGATGAGTTTTCCACTTGTTTTTTTTTTTTTTATCCTCACTCGAGGACATTTTCCCATTTTTTGTTCAGATAGAGTGGGAGGGAGAGAGAGGAAGAGAGAGAGAAACATCGACATGAAAGGGACACATCCAGTGGTTGCCACCCACACGACCCCAACCAGGGCCTGGGACAAACTGCAACCGAGGTATGTGCCCTTAGT